ACCAGGGCCATAAGTAGCACTGGCCAGGAGTGCTGACGGGGGCAGCTCCTGGATTGGCCATTGCCGCGGCGTGGCAACGCCCCCGCGCAAACTGTGAGTCATGCCCCGTCCCCCATCCACGAACATCCTGGTTTATCCAGCGGGGCGACTCCGAAATGTCCCTTTTGCTCCAAATCTGGACAAGTACAGCAAAGTTGTGAACGTCCAACAGCTGTGGTTACCGAAATATCCCCTTTTCTCCAAAGCTGGATGAGTACAGCAAGGCTGTGAACTTCCAAGAGCCGTGCACATAGTACCATTTTCACACCTGGGTGACAAGTAACCCACTAGTTAGGTCCCGGAGTTGTCAAGCTTTGTCGATTCACTGCCTCTGAACTCGCTCAGACGTTCTAACGTGAAACCGCAACTCAATGGTTCTTCCGTTCAATAGGCCAGTCCAGACTCGACACCTGGCTCCAAATTGGTTATTATACTGCACCAGCCAGTGGTCGTGACAACGCAATACCAAAGAGCACCCACTGCGTCCAAAAGTCTGGGTGAGACATAATCGAAGAATCCTAGAATCGCGACCTGGAATTCCTACTTGGTATTCCCACATGTTTCCGCACAACCACGAAAAGTTTGGTCCTGAGAAAAGGAGGGGAACAAAAAAATCGAGCGCAAAATAGTGACTTTTATGGCTATGACAACAGCACGACTCTCCGCAGCCTCATCGCAAAACATATAAGAAACTTCGACTAAAGAAAAATATTCATGACCTACGTGTTTTGTCTGTGTTTGCGTGTGTCTGTTGCGAAAATCGTAGAAGGTGTTCCAGCCTTGAGCCCAAATTTTGCACAACGCATGCTACTAGCGTAAAAGTCTATCGCGCAAAAACACGAGAGGATTCGTTGCGTGGATTCAGAAATCACGGTTCGAACGGATCCAGCTGGCCTCTGACCAGCAGAAAATCGGGTCCATAGTACCACTTTTCGCAAAGTCATGGATACGTTTGGCATGTAAGTGTGCAAAGAGACTTAAGTAAAAAAGTATCAAAAGTTTACCACTTTGCGAAAACGACGCCGAAAAGAGTTGATTGCGTTAGTGGTCATTTGCCAAGCTTTTAC